CCTTCCTCTGCAGCATGGGGCGGGGGTCGCTAGCTGGAGGATTCTCTGCGACTTGAAGTCTTTAAATCACAGGATTTGGGGACTTCAACAGCTGAGTTAAGGGAAAGGGGGTGGGTCAGCTTTTGCGGCCTGCATCATGCGGGAGGTCAGACTAGATGATCATAATGGTCCCTTCTGACCTTAAAGTCTATGAGTCTATGAGTCTAAGTGACTGACTTGTGGTTACACGGGAAGTCTGTGGCTGAGATGGGAATGGAACCCAGGTGTCTGAAATTCCAGTCCAATGCTCTACCTACTACACCATCTTTCCTGCCCTGATGCAACTCCCCTCTGGATCACTAACTTCACTGCTTTCAGAACAAAATAAAAAACGTATCTCTTTGACTCAGCTTCCCTCAGTAATATCTGTGTGCATGAGAGAAAACACACACACACAATGTAATCTTGTCTACTGCATCAGCAAGGTCTGATGAAATAAATGCCCGTGTAACCTTAACTCTGGCCCCTTGTGCATTAAATTAATAGATTTTAAATACCAAAGGGACCACTATGACTATATAGTAGAAACTGGCAAAACCCAGGCCACAGAATTTCACCAAGTGATTCCTGCATTAAACCTATGATTTCCAGGTTAGCTACAGTGTATCTTTTAGAAAGAGACATCCAAAGATTTCAAGTGATGGAGATTCCACCACATCCCTTAGTTAGTCATTCCCTTCCTCCTGAAAACACACAACGACCAGCCAACACTGAAGAAACCCATTCTAGTTACATCAGCTCTAGCCAAATACCACCTAGTGTCAAACTTCCCATTCCTAAGCAAGCTCACAGAAAAGTTAGCTAAATGTCAACTACAAGCTCATCTAACTGAATCCAATAATCTAGACCTGGCAGAATCTGGATTCAGGCCCAGAGAGGGGACCGAAACTGCTTTAGTGGCACAGATGGATGATCTCCTTATGTCAACTGATGAAGGACAAATGTTCATTTTCATCCTCCTGGACCTCTCTGCAGCATTCAACACTGTCAACCATTGGGCACTGCTGTCTCACCTGAAACAGGGAAACAGGGAAACAGGGTAATACACTAAAATGGTTTCAGTCCTTCCTGGAGGGATGCACCCAACAAGAAGTGATGGGTAACTAAACCTCCACTATTAGACCTCTCAGCTGTAGAATGCCACAAGTATCAATTCTCTCTCCAGGTCTTTACCACACTGACATGCAGCCACTAGGTGAACTGGTCAGAAAACATGGACTCAGCTGCCAGCAATATGAAGATGACACACAGCTCTATCTGTCCTTCACAACATATGACCACACCACTACCATCAAGATGGCCCAGTGCTTGGATGAGATCAGCTCACAGATGAAGTACAGCTGGCGGAAGCTGAACCCGAGCAAGACAGAGGCAACACTGGTGGGCAGGGCATTTTGAACAATTTGGTTGAAGGTTCACACCCACAGTTGGTCAATTCAGTTCACAGTTAGGAGTACTCTTGGACTCCTTGGTGATGCTAGGCTCTCAGACAGCAGCATTCACAAGTAATGCTTTCTATCCTGTCCGATTGGTTAGGAGACTCCGTCCCATTCTGGTGGCCGATAACATGGCTTGTTATTCAAGACTTTGTCACTTCTCAGTTGGACTACAGCAATGCAACACACTTGGGCATGAGTTTCAGCACTTAAAAAACAGAACTAGTCCAGAACACTGCTATGTGTCTGCTCAGCATCACAGGCTACCTGGAATATATGACACCCATCCTCTGTTCCCTACACTAGCTTGCCATAGAATGTTGAATCAAGTTCAAGGTCTCAGTCCTTATCTTCGAGGCACTCCATGGCATGGCCCACAGTATCGAAAAGAGCCTAAAACTCCAGGATGTGTAGACTGTGGTCAACAAATCCACTCCTCTGGTCCAATGGAACTATCTACTGTAAGGGTAAAGCTTGTCTGTGCAGGAGACAAAACTTCCTTGGAGGTCAGACTGAGACAGTGAAATGAACTGCCCCAGGAACTAAGGACCATCACAAACCATACAACCTTCCACTCCAAGAGACCTTGCCTTCTCTAACAAGCACATAGCAACATGTATTTTTTTTAAATATCTATTAAACAAGATATTCCACTGCATATGCTTCTCCCCTGGGGAGAGAATGAGAGACCAAGCAACACATGACGGATGTTTGTCACTGCTTAATGCATTGTGGGATGGTGCTCAGATACTACGCTGAGAAGCACGATATAAGACTTATACAGAATAGAGTTGTTCCAGAGGTTAATTACCTTTACTTGTAAAAATCTATCTGATTATGTCTAGCTTCAACTTCCAGCCATTGACTCATGTCATGCCTCTGTCTGCTAGATTAGAAAGTGTTCTGCTGTTAGAAACCATCTCCTGATGTAGGTGTTTATAGACCATGATCAGTTTATAGACTCTTGGATGAACTAAATAGATTGTGCTTCATTAACGGCTCACTATAATGCAGGTTTTCCAGACCTCAAATTACACTTGTAGCTCTTCCCTGAACCCCTTCAATTATTTCAACATCCTTTTTAAAGTATGGACACCAGAAGTGGACACAGTATCCCAATAATGGTCTCACCAATGTAACATACTGAGGTAATGCCACCGATATTCCCTTGCTTACACATCCAAGTGTTACTGTCTTTTGTTCTGTGTTTGCCCAGTGCCTAGCACAATGGGGACCTGGTCCATAACTTGGTCTCCTAGATGCTATGCAATAAATAATAAATAATAATAATTTAGTATTAAGTATTATTATTATTTTAACCCTCTTAGTCACAGTTGCACATTCTTTGTACATATAACCCATTATTTAATTACATGTTCAAATAATGCAATATATCATCTAATAGTGTCATTTAAACTGTCCAAATCCTTCCCTCATGATGATAAGAGAGAAAGAGCTCTTTACTGGGTTGTCTATTTTTGCTGTATGAAAATTACTTACTGGAAATCCTCAGCTGTAAGGTTTCGTACAGGCATGTCAGGGTCCCCGAGTACAGAGAGGATATGAAGAAATCTTTTGTATGTCAAGGGGGGAGTCCCACCATTCATGTCCAAAATCCTGAACAAGACAAGACCATTTGTAGTATGAATATAAACCATGTAGAAAATGGAAGTGGCAGGTGTCAGTCATGCAAGCAGAGCTGATGAATAAACTGGCTATAGCATAGAGATGGAACATCCCTGTTATGAGGTTCCTGGTACAGATGTCACAGTCCATTATGCAAAGCCCCACTGACTTCAATGGAATTCTGTGCAAGTGTCCAGGTCCACTTGGACCAATCCACTTGCAGGGTTGCAAGTTTTACAATTTTTTAAACAGACTATGAATAGAATTGGAAAGACTCTGTTTTTATTAATTTCAATGGATTAGATCCATGTTGGTTTCCAAAATGTTTTTAATTTTAAATCCACTTACAATCTTTGCACTAGCAAGAAATGTAAAACAAAAAGGAATTTTCCTGGCCACAGATGACACCTGCAAGAACCAAAGGCCACACAACTCTTTTTGTGGGATGTGGTGTATAGAGGAGTGGAAGGAAATCAGCCTTATTATGAAAGATAGTGACCACTCAAGGCCTCAATCATGCAATTTGCTTTGTGGGGGCAGAGCCCAGCACCCAGATGGAGTGGCAGTGACTAAAACGGGCCTTTCTGTTGCCACGGGGAATTCTCCCCATGGGGAACAAGATGTAGTTTCAGACCTTGACAGATTTCCATCTCTCCATAGCACCCACGAGCAATCATAAATTTAATCCTCCAGCCAAAAACAATTGAATTACCTATATACTAGCAATCATCAAAATATGCAGACAGGAGAAGTTAAAATGTTGATCGAGCCCTCCTTTGCTCTAGCAATCAATTACTGAGGCCCCAATCCTGTAAATGCTTATCCACGTGAATAAATTTATGCATGCAAATACCCCTTTGAATTCAACAGGGTGCTCCATATATACAGATTTGCTCACATGCGCAAGTGTCTACAGGATCAGCAGTTTATTAATTAATAATGTAAAACACGATTTGATCTCCAAATTCATAATAAATCTCCAATATCTGCAGCCATTCGGTTTTGAATAAACCACAAACAGTATCTGATTGGTGGTGTTTGCATTTTAATTTCTTTCATGGGCAAAACATTAAGATGATTAGAAAACCCCTAATGCTTGAAAATAAACACTGATATAATCAGATGAAATGGGTAAAAAAACCATAATTGCATTCTTCCCTGCCGATTTAGATTTTGTTTTTTAAAGAGTAGATTATATAAAGGATTGAACTAAACCCACCGGCCAAAGGGTGCATATTAATAAAACATTATAACTAGCATACCAAGTCACAGCCCCAATTCTAATTCCAATTCCAATTCATGTGCATTCCCTCCTCTGGTCCTTACTGACTGACACACAATATTACATTCATCCCAGGAAGCTCAACTCTCTAAAAGCTCAAATATTAGAATCTAAAAGAATCAGAATCACTAGGCATTTCCCACTGATATTTGTTAAAACTAAACATAAACAAAAGATCATTGAGAAATTGCCTTGTGGTAGTTACGTACCGTCTGATGTCATAAGGCGTGTGGCCCATCAAAGAAAGCACATCAAATCCCATCTCTCCCCCCAGAACTTGTATGATCCTCTCCATCTCTTTGTAAAATGGTTCAATCTCAGCATCTAGAGTCACCTGGGTAATGTTCCACTTTTTAACATGGTCTCGAAGAACTGACTCATACTCTCCTTGAATAACCAGTAAGCAAGAGCCCAGTTTAGTTAGGTTCCTCTGCAGATCCTCGAGGGACTGCAGCAGGAAATGCCAGCGCAGAGTTCCCATATTCATTGCAGATATCAGGAACTTTCTATCCAGAATAAAGAACAGGAGTACTTGTGGCACCTTAGAGACTAACAAATTTATTTACGAAAGCTTATGCTCTAATAAATTTGTTAGTCTCTAAGATGCCACAAGTACTCCTGTTCTTTTTGCGGATACAGACTAACACGGCTGCTACTCTGAAATCTATCCAGAATGTAGACTGGATACACAACCTCTGAGGACTCCAGTGCGGCCAGCAGAGTTGGGTTGTCATGGAGCCGAAGTCCCTTACGGAAGAGATGAATGGTCTGGTGAGGCATGTTGGGCATTTACTTGAGATCTGTAAAAGAGGGAATTCCTGAAGTGGAGGGATTTCCAAATCCCCATTAAAGAGGGAAGCCCATTAACAGCTAAAACAGAACTTTGAGCAGTTGACAGCACTGTAAGAGAATTGATCAATACACGCAGCACATTACCACTGCCAGAAGCTTTCCGCAATTAGACTGGGCAGGCTCTAGAAGATATGACACCTCACAACACGGGCATAGCTGAGACAGCGAGGTTCTTGGGGAATTGTTACAACAAAAATAATATCAAACAGTTGGAACAGAGCATCAGATAGGCACATTTGTTCTTACAGATGTAATGAACCCCCTGCCCCCAACACACATTCCTCCCCTCCTATTTCCGACTACACACTTCCCCACTCATAAAATGCACCAGTCTCCCCCAAAGCAGCATATCTCCCTTCATTACAAATCAGCAGAGAATCAAAATCAGACTAAACTCTTTCCCGTCTTCCCCCTCCACTGGGGGACGCTCAGCCTTCAGCAATACTAATAACTAGATCTGGTCCAAACTTTTTGATAGGACAGTTTCCCATCGAAAAATGCAGTTTTGTTGAAACTGAAACCTTTTGTGGGCACATGTCAACTTGGATGAAATTATTATATGGAGAAAAGTCAAAATGTTTCCTTTAGATTAATTTCTTTTAGACTTTTAATATAATATAAAACATTAAACATAATTATATATAATTAATATTATGCACATATATTATATTTAGTGTTTTAATATAAAAGTCTAAACAAAACAAATCAAAATGAAATGGCTTGATACTGTTGGAACTGATGTTTTAACACTATCAAAACACATTTTGCCAGAATCGTTGTTTCGTGGAAATTTTCAGCTTTTCATTCCAAAACTAATAGCTAGTTCTTATCTAGCACTTTTTATCTGTAGATCTCAAATCACTTTATATCATTATCCCCATTTTACAGAAGGGAAAACGAGGCACAGAGAGGGAAAGTGATTTGCTGAAGGTCACTCAGCAGGCCAGTGGCAGGGCTAGGAATGCACACTCAGGGCACATTCAGGAGGATGCCACTCTTGGAGTGGGACTGTCACTTCCAAGGGAGGAGGGGCTGCCCCATCCTCACTGGGGGGAGCAGAAGCAGAGGATTTCAGTATTGGGATAGGTGTTAGTAGGATCCTCATATCACAGCTGGGGGAGGGGAGGCTTTGAGGACCCCTCTGTAACTACCACTTAAGGGAGGTTCCTGCTCCACTATCCAGGGAGGGGCAAAGAGCCAGGGGTTCCTGGTGTCTCACAGACCTTGGGAGGCAGGCCAGTCCTCGCTTACAGACAACCTCCCAACCTGAAGCAATTACTCACCAGCAACTACACACCACACCACAGAAACACCAACCCAGGAACCAATCCCTGTAGCAAACCTCGTTGCCTACTCTGTCCCCATATCTACTCTAGCAACACCACCAAAGGACCCAACCACATCAGCCACACCATCAAGGGCTCATTCACCTGCACGTCTACTAATGTTATATATGCCATCATGTGCCAGCAATGCCCCTTTGCCATGTACATTGGCCAAACCGGACAGTCCCTATGTAAAAGAATAAATGGACACAAATCGGACATCAGGAATGGTAGCATACAAAAGCCAGTAGGAGAACACTTCAATCTCCCTGGACATTCTATAACAGATTTAAAAGTAACTATTTTTGAACAAAAAAACTTCAGAAACAGACTTCAAAGAGAAACAGCAGAACTAAAATTCATTTGCAAATTTAACACCATTAATTTGGGCTTGAATAGGGACTGGGAGTGGCTGGATCATTACAAAAGCAGCTTTGCCTCTCCTGGAATTGATACCTCCTCATCTATTATTGGGAGTAGATCACATCCACCCTGATCGAATTGGCCCTGTC